GACCGGATACCCTTCCGGTCACACAAGAGCGGTAACTACAGGGATGACTCTCCCAATTCATCCATTTGGAAAAGATTATTGCCATTTTTACGGCATCTCTCCTGCCCAATTGGCGCCGAACTTTTGGTACTGCTTTGCGGGAGCCTGGATTCTATGGAACCAGAAGTTCGACATGGAACTCCCACTGGACGAGTTCCGATTCATGTACAAATTGTGCCACGTCGCCAAGTGCGATGGGTGGTACTTTCTGAGTGGCCATGGGAGGGCTCAACCCAGGTTTGGGAAGCTTATTCTGGGCATCCCTTCGTCGTCACATGGGTGGAAGCCCATGTTTTTCATGATTCATGGGCCTTTTAACTTCCATCCCAACGACCGCCAGCCCCGCCGAAGGCTGGTGCAGGCGGCGTTTGGAAATATGAGTAAGCCCCTCAATTCTCTCTTTATCTGACCTGACCCCCCTTTTCACATGTTGACGAGGAGTCCTCTGTGTTGCAGTTAACCAGGATCGGCCAAAGTTTTCTGGAAACAGCTTGGCGAGGATCGAGGAAGCTTTTTCCTACTCGTCGGAAGTTCGCCACATCGACACGCTCTTGACCAAGGAGAACCTTCGTACTGCGGGCCTAATTCTTGACCTTCCAAACCCTTCGGATCTCGACGCCGTTCGTTCGTATTTCCATTTAAGCGATGAGGGTAATTACTTCTCTCGACGCCTTGTTGAATTAAGATTCGTGTTTTCCTAATGCTGACGGTACCCTCTTTTTCTTGCTAGAGATGGCATCTTTGAGAATCCAGCTTCCTGGGGGCCAACGGCCGGCGCCAAGCCAACAACAGGTGCCGAGCCAACAGCCGCCGTCCGTTCCGCTGCCCCTGTCAGGCCAACAGCCTTCGACGAAGGGGAAGGAGAAGGCCGGCTATTCTTGTCCTGCACCGAAGGACAAAAAGAGCAGGCACAAGAGGAGGCGTACTGAGGAGTCGGCCCCTAGCCAGGCGTCGATCGATAAGACCTGGACACCGGTAGTGCCCATTCCTGATGTCCGCGCTCCCCCGGGACCAAGAGAACGCATATTGATCCTGGGGGGGAAGATTACGGACGGGAATTGTAACCAAGTTGAGGGCTGAAGTCGCAAAGCTTACTCGACGGGCTGACGAATCTGAAAAGAAATTGGCCGGGGCGATCGTGGATGCCGAGAATCGGTATTCCGAGGGGAAGGTCGACGGGAAGATGGAGGCCGAGGCAACCTTCAACGCCAGACGGGCGCAGATCATTGAGGAGTTCAAGGCTTCTCAAGAGCTCTTTGACATCCGCAATAATGATTTCCAGTCGGCGGGTCAGTAAATTATTGATCTGATAAAAAAAGAGCGTCCTGATTGGGACTTGGGCTTCCTCTATAACTCGCCTCCTCCTGCTGGCGACGAGGAATTGCCCCCTCCTGGTGGCGATGAAGAGAACGCTCCCTTCCTTAGTGGCGGCGAGGAGCCAGCGGATGGTGGCGACGATGCTTAAGGAACTATCTTCTATCACCCCTTTTTTTTTTGAACAATTTTTATATTACCCGTATTTCTATATAAAGGCAATGGGTTTTGTTCATACCTTGATTCATAATCATTGATTTCCTTTCTGTTTCTCTTTCAAAAATTCCTTGGAATTTACTAAGTGTCGTCTTTCTCCTTGGAGGATTTGACGTCGAGCTTATTCCTTTGGGTCGTCGTCTTAGGAAATTTCTTAGAATTTCACTAAGTATTATGTCTTTCCTCCTTGGAGGATTTGACGTCGAGCTTATCCCTTTGGGTCGTTGTCTTAGGAAATTCCTTAGAATTTCACTAAGTGTTTTGAGCGCCTTTATTCCCCCCGCGTCTGTTAAATACACCCTTGAGTTTTCTTTTAAGCCGACACGTTATTACGGGGTCAATTTATCTCACGCTGAAAACATATCAATTTACTATATTTGCAAAGAATGTGTAATAAAAAACGCATAACAACTTCATACATTTATTGGTAGTACAACCTTAGTTGCTCAGCATTCCATGGGTGTTGAACCTTTTTGCCGTCGAGGTTTTCTAATACGTAAGTGCCAGGTCGTAGCACTTTCCTTATGCGATAGGGTCCTTCCCAAGTTGGGCCCAAGGGACCAGTATTCTTGGGTTTCGTGCTTTGTGTCACCCTTTTTAATACTAGGTCTCCCGGGATGAACCTTCTTTTCTGGACTTTCTTATTATAATATCGCGCCGTCCGTTGCTGATAAGCGGCGAGACGTAATTGGGAGTCGAGTCGCTTTTCTTCCAATAAATCGAGTTCTCCGTTCATGCCCTCCGTGTTATCCTCGTCGTTATGGACAACAGTTCTTAGGGTCGGCGTTTTGATTTCTATGGGGAGTACCGCCTCGACACCGTATGCCATGGAGAAAGGTGTTTCTCCTGTCGTAGTTCGGCTTGTTGTTCTATATGCCCACAAAACCTTGGGAAGCTCCTCGGCCCATCTCCCTTTTAGGTCATCGAGTCTCTTCTTTAGGGTATACTTGAGTATTTTATTGATGGCCTCGACTTGCCCATTTGACTGTGGGTGGATTGGTGCCGAGAAGTCTTTTCGGATGCCCAAACTGTCACAAAATTTGCGTGTTGCGGCGTTGTCGAACTACTTCCCGTTGTCGGACACTATCGAGTGAGGAACCCCAAACCTGCATACGATGTGGTCCCACATGAATTTGGTGCAGGTTGCTTCCGTGGTAGTGGTTAGGGCCTTGGCCTCTGCCCACTTCGTGTAATAGTCTACCGCAACGATCGCGAATTTCAACCCCCCAGCTGCAGGATGCAATGGCCCGATCAGGTCAATCCCCCACTTGGCGAAGGGCCATGGACTGAGAATGGAAGTTAGCTTTTCCGGGGGTGCCCTAGGAATCGTGGCATACCTTTGACATTTATCGCATCGTCGGGTGTACTGGAAAGCATCCTTTTTGAGTGTGGGCCAGTAGTATCCTTGCCTCAAAACCTTTAGCGCTAAAGATTGTCCCCCGGAATGATTGCCACAGATCCCTTCATGTATTTCTTGGAGGACCGTCTGGGCATCGGCGTCATCTAGGCACCGTTGTAGAGGTGTTGAGTAGCCTCGTCGGTAGAGCAGGCCATCGTATAATAAGTACCTGGCGGCTCTATACCTAATCCGTCGGGCCTCGTTTTTGCTATTCGGCAACTGAGTGTCCATTAGGTACCGTATTAGTGGTGTCATCCAATTTTCTCCCTCTTGGACACTAAATGCCTCGGCGCGCTCCTCGATGGTCGGCCGTTCCAATTCTTCAATGGGGACAACGCCTAGTGTGTCGGCATCTTTTGACGAAGCCAGCTTTGCCAGTGCATCCGCGTTTGCATTTTCGGCTCGCGGGATCTGGAGTACCTCGTAGTTTTTGTATTTAACGAGCTCCTCTTTTACCTTTCTTAGATATGCCCCCATTCTTTCGCCGCGCGCTTGATATTCCTCCTTTATTTGTGCGACGACTAGCTGGGAGTTGCTGTAGACGCTGATTCTCTCGACCTTTAAGTGGTTTGCTAAACGGAGTCCCGCAATTAGGGCTTCGTATTCTGCCTCATTATTTGATGCTCTAAATTTGAACCGTACCGCCGAGGTAATCTTGTGGCCTTCGGGGCTAATTTTCCGGCTTTTGTAAGGCCTGTCTCAACGGGTGGTTTGTGAGAACTCGTATCGTGTGGGATTGGAAGTAGTGCCTAAGCTTTCTCGAAGCTATCATCAAGGCGAGGGCTAGACGTTCCATTTCGCTATATCTCGACTCGGCGTCGATGAGTCTTTTACTCACATAGTAGATCGGCAATTGTACATTCCCTTCTTCCTTTATTAGTACGGAGCTCACGGCGTGTTGGGACACGGAGAGGTATAGGCTGAGCTCTTCGTCATCGTTTGGTTTTGACAAAATTAGAGGTTTGCCCAAATGCTCCTTCAGTTTTTAGAAGGCCTCCTCGTACTGTGGTGTCCATTCGAAGTGTTTGTTTCCTCTCAAAGCGTCGAAGAAAGGGACACACTTGTCAATGGCTTTCAATATGAATCTATTTAAGGCGGCGACACAACCTGTCAATCTTTGCACCTCTTTTGGTTTTGTTGGTGACCGCATATCTTGCAGAGCTTTGATCTTCTCAGGGTTGGCCTCAATTTCGCGGTTACTGACCATAAACCCGAGAAACTTTCCCGACCCGACTCCGAAGGCGCATTTCTGGGGATTAAGTTTCATGCGGTATTTTCTCAATATGCCGAACATTTCTCCCAAATGATCAACGTGATGGCTGGCCCTGGCACTTTTTACGAGCATGTCGTCGACGTAGACCTCCATCGTTTTACCGATTTGTTGAGCGAACATTTTATTCACTAGCCTTTGATAAGTAGCCCCTGCATTCTTTAGGCCGAAAGGCATTACTTTGTAGCAGTAGAGACCCCTATCGGTTATGAAAGATGTGTGCTCTTCATCGGCTGGATGCATGGGGATTTGATTGTATCCGGAGTAAGCGTCCATGAAGCTTAGCATTTCGTGCCCCGCCGTGGCGTCGACCATTTGATCTACTCGAGGGAGTGGGAAGCCGTCCTTTGGGCATGCTTTGTTGAGGTCGCTGAAGTCGACGCATGTTCTCCAGTTCCCGTTGGGTTTGATTACCAAGACAGGATTAGATACCCAACGTGGATAATGCGCCTCCCGGATAAATCCATTGTTGACTAACTTGTCGACCTCTTCCTTCAGCGCTTCGTACCTCTCAGGGTTCATTGGTCACCGTTTTTGGCGTTTGGGAGGATACATGGGGTCGACGTTTAGGGAATGACTCATTACTTTGGGGTCGATCCCCTCTATGTTGGAGTGACTCCAGGCGAAGACATCTAGGTTCTGCCTGAGGAAATTTTCAATCCTGCTTTTGAGTGGTGGGGTCAAGTCCGAACCTATTTTTAGTATTTTGGTGGTTCCGCTTTCGTTAATCTGGATCTCTTCCAACTGTTCGACGGGCTGAGACTAAGTAATTTCCTCTTGGACCCGGGGGTCTATATCCTCAACGAGACCTTGTTGAACCATCCTCGTTTCCTGTATTCCCGGCTGGTCATATCCGCGAAAGGCATCAGAGTATGCAACCCTGGCTTCGTACTGGTTGCTCTTAATTTCTCCTACGCCGTTTGGGGTGGGGAATTTGACCTTTTGGTGGTAGACGGAGGTTATTGCTTTTAATGCCTGGAGGGTTGGTCTCCCGATTACTGCGTTGTATTGGGAACCTCCTTTGATGACCACAAAGTTGGCCATCGTTGTTGCCTGTCGGGGTTTTTCTCCGGCTGTTATAGGTAGTCGGATAGTGCCTTGAGGAATGACGGAGTCTCCCGTGAACCCGTACAGCGACCTGGTGGTTCTTTCCAACTGCCCCTCGTGGATTCCCATTTTTTCCAAGCAGTCGGAATACAGGAGGTCCACCGAACTTCCATTGTCCACCAAGATTCGACATACGGTGTGGTTTCTGATCACTGCTTCCACCACCAGTGCGTCGTTGTGGGGGAAATGGACTCCGCTGGCGTCATCCTCATTGAAGGCCACGTCAGTGCGGCTTTGCCTCAGGATTTTTACGGCGGAGACGTTCCAGAACCTTTCCTGGTATACCCCCTTAGCCTCGTGGGCGTAGTCCTTCTGCGACCTCCGCGTGTCTCCTCCTATGTAGGGGCCGCCGAGGATCGTTCGTATGACGCCGACTGGTTCCCGATCTTCCGAGCGGTGGTTCTCCTCTCGGCGTCGACCGTCATTTTGCCTGCCATGGCCGTTGTTGCGGGGTCTTCGTTCGGCCCTGAATTCCTGCAGCCTTCCCTCGCGGATTATTCTTTCGATTTCATCTTTGAGGTCAGCGCAATCATTCGTGTGGTGGCCGACCTCGCCATGGAACCTACAGAATTTCTTCTGGTTCCTTTGGTTAGGATCCGACTTCATTGGTCCAGGTCGACGCAGCAAGTTTCCTCGGTCGATCTGGTTGAAGATCTCCTCGACGCCTACTGTCAGTTCATGGTAGGTGTCGTATTTCTGAAACAGTCGAGGCCTGCGGGTATCCTCCTGTCTTCGCTTCTTGGCCTCCAGCGCTCCTTGCGTCGGGATCGGTTGTTTGTCTCCATTTCCTCCTCCTCGACGCTTCTTCCCGTCTTGCTTTGATGATGCCGACCCCTGCTCGGCTCCTTTACCTTTATTGGACCTATGATCGGGGTCGTTGGCATCCGCTTCTTCAGCATTGATGTATCCTTGCGCCCTTGTAAGGAACTCTTTGTAGCTGGAAGGGGGTTTTCGGTTTAGTTCCCTTTTGAAGGGAGTTATCTTCTTCATACTGGATAATGCTCCCATCAGGGCTTCCCTGTCCGTGATATCCATTGTAGCGGCGACGGCCTTGCCGTATCTGGCGAGCCACTCCCTTAACGTTTCATTTGACTTTTGATATATCGTCGTTAGGTTCTGCTTCGGGGGTATGTATTTTTTAACCCCGATGAACTGGAGGGAAAATGCTTCCTTTAGTTCATCCCAGCTGGAGATAGAGTTTGGCTTCAGCGTTCGGAACCATCTTCGGGCAGAGTCTGTCAGGTGGTTCCGAAAGGCTCGGTACATGATCTCCTCGGCGTATCCGTGCAAGAGCATGTGCCCCGTGTACATTTCTAAATGGTCGTCGGGATCTCCTCGTCCATCGTAAGGCGGAATCGATGGCGACCTGTATTTATAGGGGAGATGAGGTGCCATCATCTCCGCGGTGAATGGATGGTCATGCGTACGACTGGGCATAATGTCGACGTTCACCACCTCGGCCACCCGCCCGATGTTCTTTCTCAGCCCTGCGACGTCCCCAGTTAGTCTTCTTTCCAGGTTGGCCATGCGTTCCATAAGGGTCCGCGCCTCTTCTGTTGATACAACTGAACCAGCAGCTCCCGGCGCTCCCGCCTTTTGAGCGAGGGCCCCCCCTCTAGCCTGACCGCCCGCCTGCACCGACCCTGAGTCTCCTGGCCGGTTTCCTCCGGGATTTTGGGGCAGTTCCTCGATGGCTCGGATCCCAGCGGCTCTCAACCGGCTGCCGGAGGAATGGGAGGGTCGAGGCCTAGGAGGGCCCTGATGGTCCTCGCTTTCCCCGGTCCCTTCTTGGATGTGCGGGCGGTTACCGTGATTTGGGTTTTCCATCATGGCAGGTCCCTGTGATATTGGGGCATCCTCTAGTGGCGGCATGGAGTTCCTTCCATATAATCGTTCAACCACGGTTACTAGCCCTCGTACCAACTCGGTCAAAGTGGCTATTTGGGCTTGCATCTGCATCGGATCCGGCCGTGGTATGTCGGGAGGTGGGACTCCATTTCCGTCTGGGCGTAAATCTCCTTCCATCCCGCTATTCTTTGGGTGGACGGATGTTTGTAGCTATACTTTTGGGGGTCAAACGCTTCCGATCCCCAGTGGAGTCGCCAATTGTTGACGGTTAGATTTCGTCAACAATAAACCCGCCGGAATACCTTGAAGTTACCCTTAGGATTACCGGCTTGTGGGGTTAATGAAAGTGTGGATTCTAGTTTGATTTAAGTATTTTTGTGTTTGAACCAACTGTATGTAAATGAGCAGGAAGAATTTTATAGTGGTTCACTCTATAATATTAGAGCTACATCCACTGTATATATTATATTTCTTTGGTAGAGATCGTAGTTTACAATGAATGCTATCTCTCTCTCTCCCTCGTTCTTTTTTCTTTTAGAATTTTTTCTGGCCCCCTTCCCCATTGGGGTCCTTCTTCTTTTATACTCGGACTGCCTTCGCTGGGTGGGTTTCCTTCGTAGGTAGGAACACTCAAGTGCTCTAGGCCCAGACATAGCCCACTAATCAGTACTGTTCACTCAACCAATTAGTCTTCTATTACGCTCTGTGAGTCTCCGTAATGCTTTTCTGTCCCCTTGGGGGGGGGGGGGGTTTGTAAACTTGCAATAAATGCTGTCAGAGCTCTCTTATCTTTGCATGTAACCCATTATGTCGAAAAAGGACGTTCCCCTCGTCGTCAGTGGTTGTTTAACCTTTCTCGCCCCTTCTAGTGATCTCTTCTGCTGTCGAGGGATTTTGTCGTGTCGACCCAGGCGGAATCAACCGTCGACGTCTCATGGGGTCGTCGCCCTAATCATGGACTTCACCTTCGGGCTCTATAGCTGATCGTGAGGGAAACGAAGCGTTGAGGGTTGGGTGCTCGGTGGAAAGCAAGTATAGCCACGTGTCGTGGCGCCGTTGGTCCAGGTGTCCATCACATTTTCCTACACAACAGTTATAATTAGAGCGGACTTTTCTGATAAAATTAGAAAAAAAAAATATTAGTAGTTTTATATTTTTCAGCCGTTAAATTTATATAAAAATTATTTCTTTTATATATTTTTAATCTGATGTGATTTTGATTAAATATAAAAAGAGATTTACCGAAAAGATTTCGAATTAGAATTGTGAACTTCCTTTTTTTTTATCTTGTTGGATATGATTACAATTTTTAAATTGCTAACAATAAGTTAATCCTCAACCCACTTGGAATTTTGATTCAGATTTTAGTATATACTGTCCATTGTTCATATCTAAATCCTGCCAATAGCTTCCTTCCTGCCGATGCTCTCGTCAATTTGGTCAATTTCATGCGCAAATTTTTTATACTTGCACTCAACTCAATCTGACATAATTGAAGAAAAATTAAAACGTACAACGACACACTTTTTTTTTTCTTTTTCTTTTTCTATTTTATGGTTAAGTTTACATGTACGGCGTCGTTGGAGCCAATCACCAATCACCATACATACAATGTAACCTTTTCGAAGTTACGTAAAATAAAAGGTTGTGAATGCTAAAATGCTATATTTTTATTTATTTATTTTTGCTGGATAATTTCCCAATATTATATTCTATATAAATGCATGTATGCCAAATTCTTCCCAGATTTCCTTTAAAAAAAAAGGAAAGAAAAGGGGAAAAAGAAAAACTGTCAAAAACATCATATTAGATCCACAACTCACTACTCAGCACTAAAAAGTGTATATATATATAAAGAAAATGAAAATAAAATATAGCCACTACTACTGCCCACAAAACCAATTTGAAGGGAGAAGTCCTTAATTAGTTCTTATAATAAATTATTAGCATCATATTTAGTAGTAATACCACTAAACGTGATTATTAGTCCGCAACAAACTAATGCCCAAGCAGTACTATCTTCCAGGTGTAAACATGTTTTGTTAATTAAACCTGTCCTCTCTCTCTCTCTCTTCCAGGTGTAAACATGTTTTGTTAATTAAACCTGTCCTCTCTCTCTCTCTCTTCCAGGTGTAAACATGTTGTTAATTAAACCTGTCCTCTCTCTCTTCTCTCTCTCTCTTCCAGGTGTAAACATGTTTTGTTAATTAAACCTGTCCTCTCTCTCTCTCTCTCTCTCTCTTCCAGGTGTAAACATGTTTTGTTAATTAAACCTGTCCTCTCTCTCTCTCTTCCAGGTGTAAACATGTTTTGTTAATTAAACCTGTCCTCTCTCTCTCTCTCTCTCTCTCTCTCTCTCTCTCTCTCTCTCTCTCTCTCTCTCTCTCTCTCTCTTCCAGGTGTAAACATGTTTTGTTAATTAAACCTGTCCTAGTAAAGCATGACATGGTATGACAAAAATAAATAGCTTAAGGATAAATGAGAACAGAGAATCGGATTTGATTGTAGAAAATTCCTACACCAATAGCATTTATTGTAATTTTTTTATCTTCTCTGATATTTAACTAACGGTACTATTTTCTAAAAAATAATTATACATCGAATTCTCTTCTTTGTAGGAAGAACTTGGAAAGTGCCCGTTTGGTATCAGTTTTGAAAACAATTTTCACGTTTTTTAAGAAGAAAAAATAAAACCGAGAACAGAAACATTATTTGGCCTAAATGAATGATAGAAAACGGAAATAAACCCGGTTTTTGATTTAGTGTAATATGAGGAAGAGATTGAAAACGCTTTTTTTTCGTTTTCATTTCTGCATTTCCATTTTTTCCTCCCTTACTCTTCTGAGAATGCTGGTCCGCTTTGTACTCCACTTCTCTAATTAATGGAGATTACAATCCTGATGAAATCATCATCACCAGGCTAACGCCTTAAGGATCCACCGACTACAACCCCGCCGTCTCTCTCTCCAGCGAATTTGTCACCGTCGCGTCATACGGTTCCTGTCCTTGGGGCGGTGAATTCCTGCTGACCCACAACGACGAAAAGCTCAAGAGCCCACCGATGACGATGAGAACCACCAACAGCAATGAGAACCTCTGGCTGACCCACGACGATGACAAAAAGCTCGGAACCCATCTCTGCCCATGATTTCCTCCTCCACCGATTCACGATCTTCTATTCTCTTCCGCCTCCGATCTTGAACGCCTCCTCTAATCTTCCTCTGATCTGCAGTTTTCAATTCTTGACTGCCTCCTTCACGACTGGAATCATGACAGTCTGATCCAGAATCACCTATGTAGACCCCCAGCCACCCATCGATAGGGGTGGGTCATGATCTGAACATAATGGGATGTTTGGGACTTAAAATCAGATTTAGAACTATTATGCAAAATTATTAAAATGCCCTCTCAATTGTATTTGTTATAAGAAAGTACTGTAAATAAGATTTAGTTACTATTATAACTGATTTGAGATTTTATTAACTATTTAATTTATTCTTTAAAATACTATTAGATGTTTTTAAAAATGTATAACCAAATAGAATTTCAGTTTTTTCTTATACTGAAAATAATCTCTCAATAAAACTACTAAACGCATTTTCAAAAATGATTTCTGCTTGAGATTAAAAACGTTTACATTTTCAGTTTCATACAAAAAAATAAAATTAATTTAAAACCAATTCTAAACGCACCATTAAATTTAGAAAATATTGCAGTGGGGTAAAAAAAAAAACTCAATAACTATATAAACTAAAAAGTATATTAAAAAAAAAAAGAAATCAACTGTTGGAAAACTTATGGATCTATGATTTCTTCTCAAACTTTTAATTGAGTATCATTGTCGTTTCAACTAATAAAAAAGGTATCCTCGTCATTTTTCTTTTTTCCCCTTCAAGAGAAACCGTTGTCGATTGCCCGTAATTAGGAAAAAAAACATAATTGCAGGATCAAAGTTAACAAGCATAAGCATCTATAAAATAAATTGACATCACTCCAACAAAATAATGATAATAATCAATAATAATAATTTGTCACTTTTTTATTTAGACCGGAAAAGACTATTCTTTTCAACAAAAAAAAAATGAAAAGACTATTTTGTCATTTCCTCAATAATTTTATTTTTAAAAGCTCATGAGAAACGTGCAGTGGGTGGACACTGGACAGGACCCTCCTAGCTTAATTTTCGGAAGATTAGATCATGGAGTCCCAAGAAAAGACCCCTTTTTCAATTGCCTTTTCTTTCTTTGGATTCTAGTACTTAAGTTGCTACTTATAATCTAGCTTAATAGTTGTTTAATTCCTCCATTAATATCTTATTAAACTAAAACCAAGTTGGAGATCCCCCCTGTTGGCCATATTTGGACCCATCAACACATTTACATTTTGCAAGCATCTTATAATGTTCACATTCATCCATATCTCTTCATTCCTCTCCTCTTCTTATCCACAATGCCTTTTTTTTTTTTTTTTTTTTTTTTTTTTTTTTTCAATTTTTCCCCTCCAAATGTCCCTCGATTTCAGATTTTTATTTCAAATATATACATATATATATTTGCAAATTTTGTGGTAGTTTTTTAAAAAAAAAAATTCTATTAGAATTGTACAATTAAGAAAATATGCAAATTTAACAAAATTTAACTAAATTGTAACAGCCTAAAAGAACACAATATCAATGGAGTATTTTTTTTTAACTCATTTCTGTCTAAGTTTCATATTACATATGTAGTGTCAGAAATGAGTTCCCGCTTGATATTTTAATAAGGTTTTATTCAATAATCCCGGTTGAATTTTGACAACAAGATAATACTATCTTTTTTATGTAAATAAGAGAAAAGACATTTTGTTTTATATACATCTAATCTTATCCATTAGAATATACAGCTTGTATTTTCGCTCAAACTCGAAGGCAACCTCATTTAATAGGAAGCACACACTAATATTTGTTACATTCCTTTATTACAACTAGTTTTTGTTGGGGACAGATGGAATAATAAATTATGACATGTCAAAGTCTTAGCCTTAAAAATACATATGTGTGTGTGTGTGTGTATTTAGAGCAAAAGAGTATGACGTGCCATTGAAAAGGAAAAGATGGAAAAAATAAAAGCTGTCAGAGTTTGGTGTAATATTAAGACTCGTTTAATTTGTTGATTCGAGTTTTTAATTTGAATTGATACGTGATTTTATGTGAGAACTTTTTACTATAGTAAAAAAATTAAATGTTAACTGTTTTTTAAAACTTTTTACTGTAACCAACTCAAATTTTAAACTCAAATCGATAAAATAAACGGAGTCTTAATAATGGTTATGATCATATTCAAGTTGCTTCATAACATATATTTGAGTGTTGGACTGATGTCCGCGTCAATTTGTATCTATGATCCCACTCCCACACTTGTTCAAAAAACAAAAGGGCTTCATTCACATTCGACTTATTTTGGACAAACATTGAAGAGTGGCGACAAAAGAGCTTGTATCATTTTACATATTATTTATGTCATTACTGCCGACTTAGTAAGAGTGCATTTTATAGAGCGTTTAAAAACATTTAAAAGACGGTGAGCTTCTTCCTAAAAGACAAGCAGTGAAGAGAAAAGAAGACTAATCTATGAGAACAACATTGGAAGAAAGGGGAAAAAGGGAAGGAAAACTCTCTACAAGGTAGCTCATTTTAGTGAATTCGACTCGTATATCTCATTGCTTTCATCACTTTTCATAATTAAAAGGACACATGAGTTTCCATTTGAATGTATTGCGTCATGATATTACAGCAACTCTAACCATACTAATCATTTCATGTTTTTAATTAAAATGGTTAATGATTTAATTTTTTTTTAACTTTTCTCAACTCTAATTATTAACTAAATGATTAGTTATTTTAGAAAATGTCTATCACACTAACTAAACATAGCTAATATAAAGTGGCTAACTATTTAATTTTTTATATTATTTTATTCTTTCAATTATAATAAATGCAAAGATTCTTTTATAAATTTAATAAAATTATTTATAATTTAAATTTAATAAATATTAAAATAATTTATATTTAGCTAAAATAAGAAATGTAATTAGAGTGACTCACTAAAAAAATATTAATTAAAATAATTTTCTAGACATTTTAGTTAAAAATTTACTAAAATTTATAGAGTTCCTAGAGATGGCCTTATGAGCCTGTTTTTAACTTTTTAGGGCTGCTTTTGGCATGCGTGAGGCCTATTTAGACGATCTTAGTTTTGATAAATAGCTTCTACTCAATGCCACAAATGTGATTAGAGAAAAAAAAAATCAAAGATTTAAAATTTTTATCAAAACTTAAATTAGGCGTTACAAAACTTATTCCCATAAAAAAAAAAAATAGATATCATTTTATCTTATTGAAAATGTGTCAGCTAACTTTTCTCCTCTTCCTGTTGGATAAAAATATAAAACAACAATAATACTAAACCGCCGACCTTATGTAGTGTAAACGGCTTATTTATAATAATTATTATTTTTCTTTCTGTTCATCAGTCCTTTTCTCGCGAAAACACGTGAAGTATTTAAAATAAGATATTTCTTATTCGGCCAAAAAAAAAAGAGAAAAAAAAAAGATATTTCTCACAAGAAGATTGATATCACAAGATAGCAAAAAACTAATCAATTATTTATATGGTTTTGACCACTGATAATGCTTACGAAAATTCAGAAGTTTGAAAAATATTTATATTAAAGGAGCTTTGGCTTCTTCTTTTTTTAAAAATTTTTTTTTTTTCTTCAGCTACTTTGTGGTAGGAGTTATATTGCATAACGCGGGGCATATACTTATTTGTAAATGTGATAGCGGTGTGATCTGTATTGGACCTTTTGATGGGTGCTTTCTAGAAATCTGGATCAATGTCTCTCTAATACAAGAGCATTGAGATTTATACTATATTTCAATCAATATAAGATTTTATAAAATATTTAAAATATTAAAGTAAGAGGCAAAATTCAAAGAGGATAGCGCAAATGAGTTAATAGTGACACATTTCTTAATTTTGGGGGGATTTTCTTCAAAGCAGTTGGGTCTTCTTAGCTTGGAGCTGCTTTAATTTTATATTTAGCTAAAATAAGAAATGTAATTAGAGTGACTCACTAAAAAAATATTAATTAAAATAATTTTCTAGACATTTTAGTTAAAAATTTACTAAAATTTATAGAGTTCCTAGAGATGGCCTTATGAGCCTGTTTTTAACTTTTTAGGGCTGCTTTTGGCATGCGTGAGGCCTATTTAGACGATCTTAGTTTTGATAAATAGCTTCTACTCAATGCCACAAATGTGATTAGAGAAAAAAAAAAATCAAAGATTTAAAATTTTTATCAAAACTTAAATTAGGCGTTACAAAACTTATTCCCATAAAAAAAAAAAAATAGATATCATTTTATCTTATTGAAAATGTGTCAGCTAACTTTTCTCCTCTTCCTGTTGGATAAAAATATAAAACAACAATAATACTAAACCGCCGACCTTATGTAGTGTAAACGGCTTATTTATAATAATTATTATTTTTCTTTCTGTTCATCAGTCCTTTTCTCGCGAAAACACGTGAAGTATTTAAAATAAGATATTTCTTATTCGGCCAAAAAAAAAAGAGAAAAAAAAAAGATATTTCTCACAAGAAGATTGATATCACAAGATAGCAAAAAACTAATCAATTATTTATATGGTTTTGACCACTGATAATGCTTACGAAAATTCAGAAGTTTGAAAAATATTTATATTAAAGGAGCTTTGGCTTCTTCTTTTTTTAAAAATTTTTTTTTTTTCTTCAGCTACTTTGTGGTAGGAGTTATATTGCATAACGCGGGGCATATACTTATTTGTAAATGTGATAGCGGTGTGATCTGTATTGGACCTTTTGATGGGTGCTTTCTAGAAATCTGGATCAATGTCTCTCTAATACAAGAGCATTGAGATTTATACTATATTTCAATCAATATAAGATTTTATAAAATATTTAAAATATTAAAGTAAGAGGCAAAATTCAAAGAGGATAGCGCAAATGAGTTAATAGTGACACATTTCTTAATTTTGGGGGGATTTTCTTCAAAGCAGTTGGGTCTTCTTAGCTTGGAGCTGCTTTAATGGCATGTTACTTACGCGTAATCGGAATAAGCATGAATCATAGTGGGCATGATTCATAGTGGATAAGATTCGGAGTGAAGAATCAGAGTCAGAATAAACTATTTATTTAGTGATAGGATTCAGAATCGGAGTCATTATAAATCTCATTCATACATTTACTTACACCCCAAATCAGAATGAAAAAGTGTAAAAATACTAATATATCCTTTAAATCAATTTGATATTTTCAATTTAAAAAATATATTGTATACTTATTATATTAAAATTAATCATAATTAAAATATTTAGTGTAATAATTGAGTACTAAAATAATAAATATAAATTGTATAACTATTTAAAATATAAAAATAAATTTTAAAAAAAAATTAAATAAAAATAAAAAATAGTAAAAATAATTATGCTAATATTATAATATTAGGCAAATAAAATAATAAATATATGTTGCATTTATTATTTTTTGAATTTTATTTTTAATTATGTATTTATAAGTAAAATAATGGTATGATAGTAAATTAATATTAATATTAAGAATGAGAGTCTCAATCCCAAGGGGGGGCATGAGATTGTCAATCTTAATTCTCAATCTCAAATTTGAGTGAGGTCCATCAATCTCACTCCCATTCCAGGATAAAAAAAGAGCAAATAAATATGAGATTAACTCTCATTCCCCACTCCCATTCTTCAATCCTGATAAGTAAACATGCCATAAAAATATTGGACCATTGCTCAGCAAAAGATAAAATAAAATAAAGAGAGAAAGAGGGAAATAGACCAAGACTTGAGATGAATTAAAATTAATAGGCCAATAGTTTATATAAGTTAATAAATAGGCCAAATTACTGTTTTTGTCTATAACTTGGCTGGTTATGAACCATAACTTGACAAGTTATTTTCAGTTTTTATCCATAACTTGTCTGGCTATGAACCATAACTTGACAAGTTTGTCCATAACTTATCTGGTTATGAACCATAACTTGACAAGTTATGACTTATTAATTTCTATAACTAAAAATTGACCTATATAATTTCTTAAGCTTTCATATTGACCTATTTTCTATTAAAATAAAATATTGGACCATTGGTGATGTCTTGTTAGCTTTTGGGCCTGGTCTATCATATTAGGGATGATTCAAGGTCCAAGTTAAGCAAAATGCTTGCTCATCGTACCACTCCATGCTCACCCACTACAACAAGGCAAACAAATTAGTCTGATTCTTCCACACTTACCGGTTACCGCAAATCTATTTAGAACGGGCTGAACAAGTACTTCTGATCTATCTAAGCTCACAAAAATGAAAATCGGATTCATCCCGATGGAATAAATCTTAATCACTTACATAATAATAGGTCCTAATAAGACTGACGTCATTTTTTTTGTTCCTTCATCCTTGAAATTATTATCGACTCCGTTCATTTCACCGATTCGAGTTTTGTTACAGTAAAAAGTTCTCAGAAACAGTTACATCTAACTTTTTTACTACAGTAAAAAGCTCTTACATAAAATTACATTTCAACTCGAATTAAAAACTCGAATCAGTGAACTAAACGGGCTCAAAAATATTTTTTTGTTAGTGTGAAAAAAATAATAAGGATGCATGTTAAGAAGATTTGTGTTTTATTATTATGTGTACTATTTGAGTGTTACACATGAAGCTTCCTTGTGCAATAGTGCAAAAATGAGGTGTGACATGTGACATGTGAATCGGAATAGCTTGATCCCATAACCTTCCTTCGCTTTTAGTCACCAATCTTTGTCCCTTCCCCCCAACTAAAGTAAGCACTCACCTTTATTTATAATCCAAATTGGGAGAGAAAAGAAAAGACTAAAGTGAGGTTACAAACCACATTTTAGATCAAGAAAGGGAAGAACATTGAGAGCAAGAAATAGCACAAAGACCATGTCTGATTGGGGGCCGGTTTTCGTCGCGGTGGTTCTGTTCATCCTGCTGACGCCGGGGCTGCTCATCCAGATTCCGGGGAAAAGCCGGATGATCGAGTATGGCAACTTCCAGACGAGTGGAGTTTCCATTTTGGTGCATTCAGTCCTTTACTTTGCTCTCATATGCATCTTCTTGTTAGCCATTGGAGTGCACATGTACCTTGGCTCATAATCCACCACAATTCAACTCCTTTGATCAAAAACTTGTCTGGTTGGTTTTTTGCCGTTTTTGCTTTTCTTGGATTGTTTGCGTATCGATAAAACGATGATTCATCTTTCAAGAAATAACTAGTTTTTTTATTTTTATTTTTTTTATTTTTATTTGGAGCAGTGATCTAGCTAGTTTCCTGCTAGAAAAAAGCATTCTTGCCGTGATTGGCTTTCTTTGTTTGTAAATCTAATTAGAATTCTCTTGATCCACCAAATCACTTCACAAACTTTGGATTATCTTTCTAATAACATAGAATAAAGGAAAAGCAGGTACATTTTGTATATGTGCTTTGTAAAATATATAGAATCTGTAAAATAAACTTTACAAATACAAGCTTATTTAAGATCAGGCTTTGTCAAAAGTTAAGAGCTAATTAGCAGGTCTAATGATTTGCGAATCGTGTCCGTACAACCTAACAGATATAAAGAAGGCTCAGACCGGGTTGAGTTTGGAGAGTTAAGATCAAATATTCCATGGACACCTCAAAGCCTTTCTTGTTTCTCTAGCCAAACAAGGCCTTAGATTGTGCAATGGCAGAGATTGATATTTATTGGATATGGATTGGTATCTGTATAAAAACAGAGTGATTTGTCTTTTAAATAGCATTCTGTTTTTGCAGCTAGCACTTAAAAGATTGTTAACAAACACACACAAAAAAAAAAATTGTTTTTTATTTTGGGTTTGTAAAAAAAAGTGAAGCAGTATCACTATCCTGCAAAAGTTACAAAAATTAAAAAAAAAAAATACAATTTTTGGTTTCACTACAATGTTCTCATTTGCACAAAGCAAATTTAGGCAAAAACTAATATTACATGCAGCAAGAAAGAGTGAAAAACCAAAAGCTGTAAAGACACTTAGAACCGATAAGGTCTATTTCAACTAAACCGAATCTCTCTCTCTCTCCCTCTTTTTTTTTTTTTTTTTTGAATATGGTGGTGCTGAAGTGCTAAGCATAGAGGTGGAGGTCAAGAACAACAAGAAACAAAATAAGTAACAAACCATAGATAACGGCGTGGACGAACATGGAGGCCACATTAGTCTGCATGTTCATGAATTGGAATGGAGATTCCTTTCCCGGCATTTGGAAGAGCATTCCGGGACACAAAAACGCGAAAAGCGCCGCGGCTATCAGCGGAGCAGCCCAATCTTTCATTCTACTCCTCTAAATAACAACAATGATGAAGAAGGAGAAAAATACCAATAATAAGGTTAAAAGAGGAAGAGTAAAAGAGCAAGAAAGCATATGCTGAAAAGGGGGGGTCTCAGAACGTGGTCTTCAACTCCTTGAAAGGACGAATCGGATTCCAATAAAGCTATAACATGAATTATCATCAATCAACCACTTTAGACCTTTTTTCTTTTGCTCTTTATCTAAAGAAAGCTATTCCTCAGTATTGGTTTGTTATTGTAGTAGGATAAGGGTAAGCATCATTTTCTATTGTTTTCAAGGCCATAAGTCGGACATGGATTGCACATTAATGGATTGGTAGTTAAATCCTTTATCACCGTCCATTTCATCACTAGGTGTGGACCATCAAATTTATTAATATGATTTTGATGCGATTTAACCTAATCTTATGGGATAGACGGACAAAAAAAAAAAGATTATTTTTATAAATATCCTTATCTTTATATTATATTTTAAAATGCCTCATAATTTATTAAAACAATTCTAAACACTCTTTAATATATAAAAAAGAAAAAGTTCAAAATGCTCCCTCTATCTAAGTCGGTCTATAACCTAAAAAAATTGCTGGTATGGCAGTTAAGCTTGTGTTTGGTTTAAAGATTCGTGACATGATTCGTTACTCGTTATAGTATTTTCTCTCATAAAAAACGTACATAAATAAAAAATAATTCTGAATTATGATTATGAATCTATCAACTATACGTCTTTTAAAAAAAGATATATTAGTCAAAAGAAACATGATGCCCAGTAGCTTTAGTGGGGGAAAAAGTGGTTGCTTTTGATTGCGTTTTGTTCTTTTGTTCGTCTATTCCGGGAATGTATTATGACTTGCTTTCGCTGTACCAAATATCAGAAATACCACTTTTGCACCTAATTAATTCAAGATGATTATAAAATAGGCGTTGTGATTGTACTCATGTCCATTTCAATTCTGTTGTGGTAGGGACTAGATGTCATTGTGGAGATTAACCGGGGTGTTTTATTTTATTTTATTTTATTTTTGATGGAAGATTAACCGGAGTTTGGTAAGCCGAGAGATGAGGACCTTCCTTTATTTTCTAATTTTTCTGGCAATACTGAAAGTGAAAACAAACCAAACAAAACCATATTGCTCAGCAGTAGCCATGACATAGTGAACCTACCACTTTCACGGTAATTAAGAGAGAATAAATTCCAAGTTGATTTCTTTAATTCGCTTTTAGGGGTAGTTTGCCTTTATTTATTTATTTTTGTCGGTTAGCGTTAGTGTTACTTTATATATATATATATAT